GACCCAGAATCCTTTGCATAGTACCAGCTGCTCCCTCTCTTTGGAAGGCACCAAAGACAAGGAGTCCCTCTACCCTTGGTTCAGCATTCACCTTGCACCAAGTTGCTGGGCCTCAGTTTCCACATCAAACCAATACAGGCTTTAGTCTGCACCTTTGCTAAGCATTCTGATACTAAGATACTCCTGCTAATGTGAGAGGAGCCTATTGCAACCACACTGTCACAGTTCCATTTTTCAAAGATTTGTAGCTCTAAGAATCACTACCTGTTACTTTTACTTTTTTTGTTTTGTTTTTTTTTGGTATCAGGGATTTGAACTCAGGACTGTGGGCTTGCCAGACAGGTGTTTGTGCCCCTAAGCTAAATACTTGGCCCTGCTGCTTTTCTAGTGTGTAGATTTTCATCCTCAGCAGACTGGACTCATTCTTAGTGGATGTCTGGAGGCCTAATTCACCAGAATTTTTTTTTTTTTTTTTTTTTTTGGTACCAGGGATCGAACTCACAACCACGTGCTTGTAAAGGCAGGCACTTATGCCACTGAGCTAAATCCCCAGCCCCTTCACCAGAAATTTGAAAAGCCCTGTTCAGCGACTGCCTTATACTTTAAAAACCAAAGATTCATTAAATCAAAAACAGTTACTGATATGCTTATTTTAGTCATCTTCAAAAAAAAAAAAATGACAGGCTTCCTAGAAATCAGGCCAGAGGGCTGAAAAAAATTCCTGTCCAGAGACAGAAGGGAGGAGCTCATTTGTGTTTGGATCGAATGGATTCCTATCATCCTCTGGGATTGGACATACCATCTTTTGTGGCCACTTGGCTTACCAGAATGTGTGATGAAGTTAGACTGCAGTTTAGAGTTCCTGACCAGTGAGACTTGTGATTTCTGTATCATCTAAGCTTTCCTGTTTTGAATGCCCTGTCTCAGCTGACCAAGTGCAGTGTGAGTCTAGGGATATACAATACTGTGATTTTTGGGGGAGAGGGATGCGGCAGTGGTAGGGATTGAACCCAGGGCCTCACACATGCTAGACAAGTGCTGTTCCACTGGCCTACACCCCAAGTCCTTATACTGTCATGTTTTAAGCGAGGTCCATCTCTATCCACCCCAACCCCAACCCCAAACTAACCATTCCCCTGGACCACTGAGGATCTTTCCAACGCCCCCTCTACATTGTACCCAGGAGGACCTCTCGTTGGCTCAGGCACGTCACTGGTGAAGAAGCAGAAACTGACCTATCTAAAACCTTCCACTGCCATCTTTGTGTTAGTGAGAATCATGTAGAGTCCTGGATTACATTCTGGGCAAGTCACTTTTATTTCTTAGGGGATGTCAGACATATATAATTTAAAGAAAATGAATTCAGAAGGTAAGATGAGATTACGTGGGCCATAGAATACTTTGTTTTTGCTATGTATGGATGGGCCACAGGTCCCCTACTATTTTATAGTGGTCCCAGTGGGCCAGCCCCCTTTGCCAGGCCTTTACACATATTACCTCTGTAAGCAATCTTGGGATAACTTCATGAAGCAGGAACTAGCCATAGCTCCTCAAAGGCTCTGATTCTTTTGATTGTAAAATGAAAACTCAGAACCTTGTCCAAGACTATTTAGTTATTTATTGTCTGTTATCAGAGTAGGAATCTCACGTGGTTGATGTGTAGGTATCGTGGAACCCAACAGAGATAATTTTGAATGGGATTCTTTTTAAGTCATGGATTGTGAGCAGTCATCACTGCTTCCCAGGAGGGTGCCTACTTGTCCTCAATCTTAGAATATTTCCAGTTGTCTTTTGAATAATTGAGGATGCAATATATTTTGCTGCTTTTCTCCCTAGGAAGTAATACCCTCTCCCTCAAAAAAACTGCTGCCCCTAGGATTTTCAAAACTCCTGAAAATATTTCTGAAAGATGAATGTTCCTATTTGCCATCCACATGGATACTCCTGCAGGGCTCTGAATCCACCCTCAGACACGAGCCAGTGAGGCAGGTCTTCTTACACTGATGCTGGCCTGGAGAGGGGATGTCTCCCTATCCATCAACTCTAACTACATTCAAACATTTTCAATATGTGGGCTCCTTGATAACTTCCACTCCCTGGAAATCAAAATGGAGGGAAATGATTATTGGCACAAAAGGGGGAAGATGTAAATCTTCAAATCAGATACAGGACAGATTGGAACAATATGAGTTCTTCAAGGTTTCCATGATAATGTACCTAATAACTCTCGTTGGGCAAAAATGCAATCTGCTTTCAATCAATCTCGCTTTTTTTTTTCCCCCCCGAGCAAAAATACCAATTATGTTGAAGGGAGAATTTTTTGCTTCCTTTTTGATAAGGACTGCTCCCAGAAATCATGCTGTAGCTAAAGATATATATTTTCAATTGTCTAGAATGGTATTGGACAGCTAGCACCGAATGAAAAAAGTCAATCTTTTTTTTCTCCCCTTCTCCTCTCCTGCCAGCATTTGTCTATTTCTTAAGGGAAGTGAAAGCTAATTAAAGGCTTAAGGGATAATATTGATTGCATTGGAATATATTTTATATGTACCTGACACATTTTCAAGTAAGAGGACCCTGACTTTTTCCAAGGCTGAATAAATCAGCTGGCTGAGCCTTAGATTCAAGGGTGTGGGTGGGGGAGCTCATCTCCTCTCTTTCCACTTTGCAAGCATCTCTCTCAGCGGAGATGAATGATTTCCAGAGAGGAAGAGGGGCCACTAGAGGCTATTCGTTCATATCCTTGCATACCGGAGAAGAAGGATGAATGATCAGACATGTCCTCAGACCTATCATTGACTTGAGTCTGGCTTTGAGTAATAGGCAGGAGGAAGCACCGGTAGGGAACCTTACACTTTACAATGCTTTTCAGGAGGCAGGCCGGTGGGTATCAGCCTTTCAGCTTTTCCCTACAGTGAACAGGAGTAAATAGCTTGTCCTGATGGAGTGCTGTATATCCTTGGTAGCAGAGCAGGGAATCCTGTCCAACTTACTTTCTCAGCCAAGTGACAGCCTCAACTATGATGATCCCTGTAAGGTATATCCATGTACGCCCTGTTTTTCCTCTTGGAAGCTTGCAGGCAGACAGCATTAGGAGACACCTAACAATCCCATCATCATCTGTGGCAAGGTCAGATCAGAGGACAATTGAGTTCCTAAGTCACTTTGTCAATGTATTTGGAAAATTTAGAACATGCACACTGAGATGCAGTCTGTTTTGTCCATAAATGCATGTGTGCCACAAGAAACAATTTAGGATATAATAAAAAATGTATATACTCCCAGCATTCAGTTTATATCAGGTCTGCTGATACACTGTGGTTTTCACAGCCTTACAGTAAATAGGGCGATCAGTATATGAGCTTTGGGAATGAAATTTAGATGAGTGGCCAAGGGACTTCCTCCATCCTAGCAGGTGCTAGCCAGAGAGCACAGCGATCACGTTGTGTTGTCTCTTCTGAAGTAGCCCATTGACACTCTTCCCTCCCCTTGACGGCCATGGCTTGCCTGATCATTAAGTGCACCACCGTAACAATAACAGTTCATAATGGTCATATTATTAACTATATCATGCATATTATTGATTTACTCTTTGTTCTGCATCATTATCTTTTCACCAATGAGTTTACCGCGTTATTCTCATGTACTTGGTCAGGCACCAAATTACCGTGCAAGGGCAGGCTCTTGTAATGGTATCTAATGGAACAATGCATAAGCCATCATCACTGCCTCCTGTTAAGAACTGCCTCCAACCAATGAGCTTTCTGCCTGATTGCAAGGTGCGCAGCACAATTACGCAGCACAAGAGACCAGGCTGTTCTAAATTTTACCCAGGAAATTGCCTAGTTAGTTGTTCATCTCAAAGTACAGCAGAGATCCAGCATTTGTCACTGTCAGTTGAGGGGCACAGGGACGAGGGTTGTGCTTCTTGTCACATACAGCATCTTTGCTAGAAGCCAGTGTTTGTTTGTACCTCCACAGTTGGGTCTCAGCTTTTGCTCTGGAGGCTAACTCTGGCATTGAAGTGCTTACTCCTGTTCAGGCATTACACAGCAAGTAGAAGTGGGGGCAAAAAAGTATGCCGTGAGGGTCAGAATGGTCCAGGAACCCAAAGATGTTGAAGTGACTGTTGGTTTCCCAGTTCTGGAAAAGGGATTTATTTTCCTCAGTGCTAACCATTATATCTAGAAATGGAAGTTCAAACCACTCTAGAATAGAGCCAGCATTTCCAGCTTCAGACTTTCCTGGCTTCTCCATATCAGGAGGAAAATCCCTTTGGCTCTCTTAGAAACCTCAAGCACCCTAAGACAGAAGCCCTTCGGGAAACACACAGTCAGCTCACGATCTTTGATTCCATGGATGTCCCATCCCCATTTAGCCCTGAGTAATGCTCGCTTACTGTAAAGTGTTACATGCCCCCATTGTCGGAGAAGTTATGATGGAAAAATGCAAAATTTCCTTTTTACTGCTTATGGCCAGCTGAGCCTATAACGTGTCAAGCTGCACATTAGCCACCCTGATAAAAGTCCGCTTTCTTACACACAAAATCATCGTTTCAGCAAGATTTGTTATCTCATTACCTGATAAGCTCTATGTCATAAACCAAGACTCATACAGTAAATCTCCTGGGAGGACGCTTTGTGGGCAGAAAGGGAGAGATATGAATCTGCAAGGGACTGGATAATGCAGCGTTTAAGCACAAGCATAATGTCACTTATTGTTAAATGCCTAAAACCACTTGGCCAAACGGTTAGGCTTTTAATAGGATTTTGTGCAGCATCAGGTGAGCAGCCATATGCCTTTTCTGTCTGGAAGTCTCTGAGCACCTGCTCATGCTGCTGCTTTGCCTCACAGCCCTCCGGGTATGGGATCTGGGCTTCTGGAGGTGAAGGGCGGAGATGGATGCTTCCCTGCAGCTGCTGTGCTTGCTCTGCCAGGGTGAAGGGCATAGGGGTCTCGCTGCAGGGCCTGGCTTCATCCAACTGGCCTCTCCTCTGCAGGCATATCGTGGTCTGTGGACACATCACTCTGGAGAGTGTTTCCAACTTCCTGAAGGACTTTCTGCACAAGGACCGGGATGACGTCAATGTGGAGATCGTCTTTCTTCACAAGTAAGAGACTGATGCTGCCGCTGGGCCCTGTACCTGGCTCTGTGCTCATCTTTAAGAGAATTGGGTCAGAGATGACAAAGTCATGATCCCTGCTGGTCTCCTTGGAGAGAACGTCACAGAACTATGATGAAAGCAGTGCCTTCCTCCGTGGAGGAGATCTGGGACCACCTTTGAGTTTCTCTCAGGAAAAGTAAGGGTAGAGTTTACTATGGGACCAATACATCATTATTGGCCCCTCCGAAAACTGGACCTGGACAGGCAAGGGGTGCCTGTAGTGTGTGGTGTGGACTGGTGAGCCTTATGGTATGGATGCTTTGGGAATGGAGGAATAGATCATGACAGGCAGGATAATGACGTAAGAAGAATCAGAGCATTAGATAATAAAAACAACTGTTCTTCTTTGGAATCTCCAGTGTGACACTCTGTGCCTGCATGGCACATACAATCTCTTGTTTAATCTGCCATGAGTGCTCACACATGCACTGCAGACTAAGTCTGAGTCCTGACTTAGTCAACTAGTAAAGCTGGTTATTTAACTTCCCCATGCCTCAGTTTCTACATCTATAACAATTCTACCTCACTGGTCTATTTGAAAACAAAATGAGATAATCCTTATACAATGTGCAGAGTCAGGCATGCAGTAAGTGCTTAATAAATGTTGACTGCTGTCATGATAAAATAAATTAGGCTGCAAGATCAACTTAGGTGTGTCTTGGCCTGGTGTGGTGGTACACCCTGTAATTCTAGCACTCAGGAGGTTGAGGAAGGAGAATAATTGCAAATTCAAAACCAGCCTGGGCTACAAAATGAGGCCAAGGCCAGGTTGAACTGGATGGCAAGATCCTGTCTCAAAAAGACCAAAAAAAAAAAAAAAAAAATCGGTGTGTCTTATCATGGGTAGGGGAGGGATGCAAGATACCTTTCCTGTTCTGAGTGGTTGAGGCTGTAGGCTTTGACTGATTCTCTTTTAAGTAAAAGGGAGCTTCCACAAGAATGGAGAGAACTAGGGACTCCACCACCTCAACATGGCAGTACCGTCATTGTCTTCTTTTATGGAAGTGAAGTCAATGTAGGAACTTGCCCCTGTATTTTTGTTTTCCACCACTGACCTCTCCAAATTCTGAGGAGAGAGACCAGGCCACAATGCAGGAGCAGGACCCATAGAACAGTGCTTAGCTATGGGGGACAGGTGGTGGGCCAGCACTCTGCTGAGGGACAGTTCCAGGGAGGACCACAATGTATAAGTTCTTGAGCACTCCAAGATGAGTCCACTTGGAGCAGTTTGAGGACTGCATGGGGCCTGTGTTAGCCATGGCATGCGAGATTGATTTAAGCCAGTGAGAGAACCTAACAGGATGTCTCTGTTAGGGAGAGATAGCACTGCCTTCATTACCAGGGAGCTATCCTCAAAGATAACGTGACTTTGATGGACTTGAAAGATTGGTCAGATTCCTATAGGCAGCCACTCTTCTCTCCTCCACTACTTCAGTTGGAAACAGTTAACAGGCTGCGGGTGTCTCAGTACCTAGGATTCATCTTTGTGTCTCCAGTGTCCATCAGCTCCAATTCATGGTAGATAACCTCTTGAAGCTTTGGGTTAATAGTCTAACTTCCTAGGAGGTTGTTTTGAGGTTTAAGTGAGTTAGTAGATGTCAAGTTTTTAGAATACCGCCTGCCTCAGAGGAAACGCATAAAGACATTATCATCAGCATTGTCTTGGTTATTTTTCTCTCATTGTTGAGATGAAATACTTGACACCCAAAGTGAAGCAAGGGAAGGCTTATTTCTTATAGTTTTGAGAGTGTCAGCCTATACTCCACTGGCTCCAAGGCAGGATGGCATGGTTGGGCAGCAATTCATGGCCACTGCAAACACCAAAAATGAACAGAGCAAAAAGTGGAAAGATATGCTTTCTTCTTGCCCTGACACTATATGTCAGCTCCTCCCTGGGTGGGTGCAGCACTGTTATCACCAACCCCAGTGTTAGACAACAAACCAATCACAAACACTAGATTCAGCTGTATCCATGATTGCATGAGGCTTGCAGTTTGTGTGTGTGTGTGATGGGGGGCATCCAAATATAAACCATACCAATCACTAAGCATTTAATAAATGTAAGGCAAGTGTTGACTTAGTGCAATTGCTAGCATGTAATAGAGCACAGCTAAATGACATCTTCCAAAGATTGATACAATATCTGATAAAGAGGTACTGCATTTTCATCACTGCAGAATTGTTAAGTGAATAAATAGGTCGGACATTTATTTATTTATTGTTTCTTATTAATTCAGTAGACAAGGGTTTTGAACAACTCAGAACCTGAAAGTGTTATGAGTGCTAAGTCCACATGTGAATCAATCATAGAGAGAATCAATCAAGTTTATTTGTGGCTGTTCATTGGTTGTGTTTAAATTTTTAAAAACATTATGGTAAAAAATCCATTACCATTAACCTCCTTTAAAATACACCTCCCCACTTCAAACACACTTATCCTGTTGTTCTTGCCTTGTGAAGTCCTCTTTGGCTTTCATGGCTTCCTTGATGTCCAAAATCAATTCAAAAAGTTTACCTTTCCTGGTCATTTTGACTTTAAGAAAGACCCAGAAGTCACAGTGCCAGATCCAGTGAATAAAGTAAATAATCTTATAAATCTTGTTTATCTTGTTTATAAATCTTGTTTATAAATCTTGTTTATAAATCTCATAAATCTTGTTTTTATGATCCCGCCTTTCTCTTGGATGGTGCTCAGTGGCAGTATGCATTATATTTTTTATTATGCCTTATAAAAACACTCACAAAAGAAGACTTTCAGAACTGCTTCAGAAAGTGGCAAGAAATGAGGGAGAGTATTTCGACAGGATTAATAGCAATGCTATTTTATCACTGTACTAAGTACTTTTTATTTAAATACACATTGTATTTTTGACCAGCTCTTGTGTCTGTCTGTAGCTGTATCTAGTTGTCTGTCCACAGAGCAATTCATGATGAGATTTTATTTCACATGATGACTAAGACTGAGAAGTCTCTCAGTCGGCCATTTTTAAAATGGAGACCAGCCTGGTGATGTAACTCGTTCCAAGTCTGAGGACCTAAAGACCAGGGGAGTAAATGATGTAAATCCTAGTTCACAGGCAGGAGAAATGTAGCGAGATGTCTTAGCACAAGCAAGCAAGTAGGAAGTAAAAAGTATGGCTTCCTCCTGTCTCTGTGGTTGTTTTTTTCTCTTCTGATTCTCAGTGGATTGGATAATACCCATTCATATTGAGGAGTGAAATCTACTTTCCTGAGTTCACTGATTTAAATATTAATCTCATCTGGAACACCCTCACAGGCACACTAAGAGATCATCCTTTACCTGGGTATCCCAAGGTGATCCAGTCAAGTCGCCACAGAAAATTATCCATCACAGCATCAGGAAAAGCCCAGTTTCTCAATTTTTAAAACAGGGTTTCCATGAATAACAAGTAGAAGGCCCCATGCCCCATGGTTCTCAGCCCGTATTTTACCTTGGTACTGGATTTGCTGTTCAGTTATACTAGACTTTTGTGTCTCTTAAATGTGAGTCTTTTATTTTTAACTAAAAAGGGGCTTCTCTGAAGGTCAAAGCATTCTCCTAGGTCTCCCTGGAGAAGGTGGGGAGAAGGGAAGCATGGAAGTTAAATTTCCAAGTCCATTATATTCATGGTTGTCTCTTTTTTCCCCATGCAGCATTTCCCCTAACCTGGAGCTCGAAGCTCTGTTCAAACGACATTTTACTCAGGTGGAATTTTATCAGGGTTCAGTCCTCAATCCACATGATCTTGCACGAGTCAAGGTAAGAAGAAAGAGGTGACTTCCACTTTCACTCTGACTTGAGGGGAGGGGAAGTCTGACTCTGTGATCAGAGGGCATGCTTATCAGGATACTCAAGGATCACCTCCTAAACCCCCAATGAGATGAGTGGAACACTATCAACCTTGACATTGACCTTTCACTGGCCCCAGGACCTCACACTTTGGCATATGCTGGGCCACTTACACATTTTCCATACATACTCTAATATGAAATTCATTTTGTTGATTTTTCTCATTATCATCCCCTCTTAAAGGAAGTAAATCAATTAGAGAGACTCGAGCATCATATAAACAGCATGATAAGTAATTCCCATCCTGAATATTTAAGTTGCACTCAGTACAGTTCCAACATCTGAAAGAAACATTAAAGCATTTCGAGCTTCCTTTTTCCTCACCAAAGACTCCAGGTATAAAAGTGAACTTGCAGGTATCTAACATCATTAGGTGATGAGCTCATCTTTTTCCCTGGAACCTATTCAGTTAGGATCTTTTCAGAAAGCTCACCCAAGGCTTAGAAGGAAAAGGGACACAGGAAAGAGGCATCTGCTACCTGACTCAGTTAATACAGATTTTTGTGACCATGTTTAGTATCTGCATGCAGGTAGATTGCATAAATGTTGTGAATCCACTGAAATCCAAACGTTAACTGTGGTCAGCAGATGCCTCCGTAAATAATGTAATTGGCAAACATGAATAATCCAAAAGGATTTGTGTAAATTCTTTGCCTTATTAAAGAAATCTAGAGACAGTTTGTGACATACCACTGAGGAAACCAGGCCCTCTCACCAGATGCAGGAATGAGGCAGCAAACACAACATACCGAATCAGACAGATTGCAGATTTGAGCTAGTGTGAGAATTGTTATGCTTGCATAGGCCAGTTAATCTTAATATTATCCAGACATGACCCAAGTTATGTGTACGTGAAATCTTATGAGAAGGGATGAAATAGTTATTGTTCCTGGACCTATTTGAAATGCCAGCAATTATTAGCACATCAAACTCATGATCTCTTCTAAGGAATAAACCTCTCTTTGGCTCCTGTATAACTAAGTCAGTAGGTTGTATTGTGAGTTCCTCCGTAGCCTGTTATTTCATCTATATAGATTTGGTGACTTTTGACTCTCTGAATACTAATGAATACTAAACCATATAGTGCTGTTATCTAATCGAGGGCTCTGAGCTCTTCTTGGTACACAGATAATGAAAATGTGAAAAAGGTTGGATGAAGGACTTTTGAGCAAATTTCAGAATCTCCTAATAGTTAATGTGCTAGTCCAAAAGAACCTCCACTTCCTGACTGGGAGAATTAAGATGATGGCACAGACAGCTGATAAAGGAAGTGGGGAAGGGAATGAAAAGCTTAATTAATTGTATTTGAAGAAACCTGGAAATCCCCTATGCAAGCGACTATGACAAATGAAAAGTATAATTACCCAGGTACATGTTGTACTCTCCAGCCGCAACAAGATGAAATGTTTATCCCATAACAAGAACTTGCTACCTACACTTCTGACAAAAATCTATAGTCTCAGAATTTTTTCTTCTGTCTTTGCAAACACGAGGTTCCCCTAAGAGTGCTGTCTACAAAGAAAGATTGCACTTGAGCTTGGCTATTTATATGTTTGTGTTCTGTGATTTTTTTTTTTTTTCCTTTTGGTGTCTCTCAGATAGAGTCAGCAGATGCGTGCCTAATTCTTGCCAACAAATACTGCGCTGACCCGGATGCTGAAGATGCCTCCAACATCATGAGGTAACTCTGGAGTGGTGGTACAAGGGAGAGAGACTTGGGCTGGGTCCCTGTGGGCCCCTTGTAGCCTTTTTCAGTCTGTAGAAGATTGTTATGCAGGCACATTCTTTCTCTCATAAGCTACCCCCCAACTGTTCCCCTGAGTAGATTTAGGGAAGCTGAGGCTGTGATGGGTGACCCTTGAGCAGGAAGCTTGGCCTTCAGTAGATGGCAGCTTTGAAAGTTCAAAGCTGGTCTTGAGTTTGATTCCTTGAGTCGGAGCTAGCAGGCTAACAGATAGATTTAGATGGGTGTGGGCCTGATTGAAAATACCACATTCCCTCAGAGACAGTGGACTAGAGATGCCTTGACTGAGTTTGACAAGAACTCAAGAGTTCTTGACTAGGGACACCCCAGAGGACATCCTGCCATACCTGGAGACATTTTTAATGGACATAACTATGGACTGATCTTGGTGGAATCTGGTAGGTGGAGCCCAGGGATGCTGTTAAACATCTTGCAATACTCAGGACAGCCCCTGTGTAGAGAATTATTTGGCCCAAAATGCCAGTAGTGCTGAAAGGGAGGAGCCCTTTGAAAGCCTTTTGGTGTGAGGGTAAGAAGACTGATTAGTGTCACCCCAAAGAGATGACTGACCAATTGGCAAATTTTTGCCAGTTTACTAAAACTTGTGTTCTTTGTGGGCGGCATTTTAAGTGATTTTAATACTAATGGGCATCCCTGAGATAATGTCTTCTGGTATATTTTCTAAACCTATTTGACTGTGAGCCCCTAAATCTTTTCATTGTTTTTTTTTTTTTTTAAACATCTCCTGGGGAAGGAGATTCTAGCAAACACAGGATATAGAATGCTAATTTTGGCTCCAACCTCAACAGCTCAGTTTTTTCTCATTTTGGAAGAAAATTTGTTGGATTTTTTCCTTTTCATAAACTCCCAGTCACCTCCCATGGCTGTGCAGTCACTAAAGCTGCAGACATTTTGCTCTAGGTAGTTAAAGCCCTTTTGGAACTTGTCTCTGGGCTCGCATAAATTGCAGGATAATTATTTGAGCCGGGAAAGAATAAGAAAGAGAATCTTCTGGAGAGGAATGTTGCACTCCCACTGTATTCCCAGGAACTTGTACTTAATTGTGAACAGCCATTCCTTGGGCCAGATAAAAGCTTCCCCTCTGCCTGCGGCTTGCATTACTGTGCCCTGGGAATTTACCTGAAGGTGGAGGTTGGGAGGTTGCTTTTGTGTCATTACTAAGCTTGCAGCCCCTTTGTCTTTGCTTTTAATCAGTGGCCCCAAGTGACAGGAGATTTCCCATCAGTGATGCAGAGGAATTCCTCTGGTACATTTGGGATGAGCGAGTTCTCCCCGCAGCATCTGGTCCTTGTGTCTGGTAGGCAACATCTGGCACAATCTCCTCTTTCCACTCACTTTTCTTTGGCAGTATACTCAGTGTAGTCATTGTAAGGAAGTCATTGTTTGAACTCTGTTAAGCCTTAGGCCTGCCGGGCTGCAGAAAGGATGGAGCAGGGGTCGACTTCACCCTGCCTGGGCTCATCCTCTTACAAGTGTGTCACTTGTCCCTTTTTAAAATATGTTTCCATCATTTCATGTGCTTTTCTGTCACTTGGAGTGATTAAAATATAGCCTTTAAGGAACAAGGATTCATTAGCTTTCAGACGTCAACAAAACCCAGAGGGTGAAGCTTAAAAGTTTTCACTTCACAGAGAAATTTGGGATTGGCACATTCTCCCCACCTCCCCAAAAGTGAATAGTAGAAATGAATAATAGGTTTGACATGGACATTTAACTTAATTCCAATATTTCAGCTCAACCCTGGAAATAGGATTAATATGGACACACGTAGGTCCCAGGTGACTGGCAGGATGCCTGGGTGTGCACAAGGGTGGTATCACAAATGTAATTAAGCTGTCCATTAACTAAAGCAGAAGGAAGGGTCCAAAGGAAATGGGAAGCTCAGGGTTAAAAATGGGCCCTGTTTTTCTCTTATTTGTATAATCCTCCTTCCTCCTTACTTTAATGAGACCAATCGAAATTAAAATGTCAAAGATCCATTTGAAATGAGCTAATGCAGAGAACTGGCTGATGCTGTGAACTTCTCTGAGAAGCTGACAGAGGCTCAAAGTCCTTGAGTTATAAGCAGGGGCCAACACAACCCTTTTTCAAAAATAAAATGAAATCCTTCAAGTGCAAAAGCCTCGGGTGGATTTCTGCAGGGAGAGGTTTTCCTGTGATGCATTTCCTGAATTCACAAGTTGCAGCTTTTCAGGTACAGCTGCTCCCGGGCTATCTTCTCTCCATTTTCCTAGAAAAGGGGGTAAAGTGAGAGAGCGCTGCGCTGCTTGGTGGGGTGTTGGGGGGGGCAGCCATAAGAAATGCACTTGCATTTCTGATTGGACTTAGGAGGTGGGCCTTTCTGCAAAATTCCATTCTTTAGCCTTTCTTGTCACAGAAGGAAATGTACAATGTCACCTCTGACAGGGTCGGTAATGACAAAAACCATAAGTTACACGTGGAGAGAGTTTTTAATGATTTCAAAGCATTTTCACATCTGGTCTCCCATTTGTTCCTCATTCCAAGCCTATGAAGTAAATAAAGCAGGTACCGTGGCCCCCAGTGTCCAGATGAGGAAACAGGAACAGAGAGCCTGGCGATTTCCTGAAGGTCGCCAAGTTCATTAGTGTAGTAGAGGGACTGGAAGCCAGGTGTTTCCATTCTTCTGCTCCAGACTCCTCCCACTTTGGCCCTGCCATTGAGAGGAGGAGCACCAATGCGGATCCAGGTGGGGGGAGTGGTAATTTCTACCCAGTGTGGACTGAGGGCGACCGCTTGGAATTTTCCACCAGATCTTAACCTCTGCAGGGTACTGACACTTACCATGTCAATCATGTAGACTCTGTTAGCTGTGGAAGTCCTTGCTCTTATTCTGAGAGCCCTGTTTAGAAATCACTCCTGAGAGTGACCAAGTGTGTGTGACAGTGACAGCCATTTGTGGGGTGGACTGTTTGATTTGTCATGTTCTTTCACATTGTTAACTTAAAGGACTCAGAGCAGACGTTCCTTGGCTGGTCCCTGGGATGTGGGCGATTGCACACCTTGGAGGATCCATGATTTGAGCTTGCTTTACATGTCAGTACAGGCACTGACCCTGTCCCACACGCACTGCCTTCTCTATCCAGGGGCACACGTCCCATCGCTGAGGCTTCATAGGCGCCCCCAAGTTTTTAAGCCCAGGACATACACCATGACTATCTTGTGATTTCTTTTTTCACACCTTTAGGAAAAATGGTGATAGGAATACTGTTTTTCTTGGCCTCTCAGGGAGGCCTCGCTGATGCACCTTCTTCCCACATGTCCCACTTAGTGGTAATCCAGTAGACCACCCATCAGTCTCTGGGGGTGAGGCAGGCCCTGCCTCAGCTATGGTTCTTTCTTTTGCAGAGTAATCTCTATAAAGAACTACCACCCGAAGATCAGGATCATCACTCAGATGCTGCAGTATCACAACAAGGTAGGACCTTGGGAGCACCCCATGCCTGAGACAACCCCAAGGGTCAGTTCCGGTCTCTCCTGCCTCACCATGTCACCCCCTTCCCACCACTCACATGCACACATTCGTGCACATTCACCTATACCAGTGCTGTCCGAAGTCCCTGGTAAAGACTCGGGTTAAAAATCTCCTTTCTTTTCAGCCTGAGCAGCTTGTTTGCAGTGGGTTACTGGAGGGAAGTTCTTTCATGTACTGGTGCATTCACGCAGGACTTGTCTGTTAGACCCCTTGATTCAGAAATATCGATGTATCCTTAGATCCCAACAGCTTGCAGTTCTGTGTACTGCAGTCATTTCTTTGGTCAATATTTATTGAATATCCACTTTGCAGTCTATTTTCATGACACCTAGAAGGATATCAGTGAAAGAGAAACTCTTTTTTTGTTTTTTGCCTTCACAGATTTAGTACTTAAGGTGCAGAGAGTGCCCCCAGAAAGAGATGGGACATCTCAGAGGCCAGGTGAACTTGGGCACATAGTGGACACTGGTGGAGAGAGTTGGACATGACATTCTTAAATTTAGAAACAGATTTTGCAGAGTTGAATCCAGGAAAATAGCTGGCTATCCGGACATTAAACATTGAAACGGTTCCTAGGGTTATAGCTTAAACAAATTGGAAAAAAAGCAAATATCAGGGTCTGTGTGGGTTCCCTATGATTACCTCTCAGGAAACCAGAGCTGAAAGTCTCTCATCCAAATCCTCTGTCACTTGGCCTGTTAGTAAACTCCCAAGAAGACAGCTTTGGGGGAGGGAAGGTGGCACCTTGCTCAGTTCGATATGGTACCAGTTAACTCCTTAATGAAGCTTAGAAACTGGAGGCTGCTCTCAGTATCTGGGGCCAGGTGTCCTCTCTGAATAGAATAACTCCCTGCTGGCTTGTGAGTGAGACTGTGCCCCATCTTCTAAGCCATCTTCCTTATGAAATAGGCTGTCAGGTGACCCAGAGGATCCTCATTCTGCCAAATGCACCAGTGCGGTGCCATTATTTCTTAATTGCTGGCAAGTGCTGGCCCATTTTGCTGTGTGGAGGCCCATCAGGGGCCACTATGGACTGGAGCCTGCTGTCTGTGACTGGCCCACCACTCAAAGTGGCTGCCTGATGCCAATCCTTGCCCATCCCTCGGCAGGTGGCTGCAGTGCAGATGGTGTCACTCTCCAGCCAGTGCATTTGGTGGTGGGCACCCAAGGTTACATTCTCCTGTTTGTCTCTGGAAAAGTCAAGGGCACTGAAGAGATCCACTGAGAGGTGTTGGTAACTCTCAGGCATCAATCTGCAGCAGCTTTCAGAGGGCAGCCCCTGTAGGTGGAGGTGAATTTGATGAGCAAGGTTGAGAGTGGTGACAGCACCTGCCATCAGGAACGCTCCTTCTTTCATTTGTGCTTTGAAATTTCACTCAGTGTGGGAGTACTTTAACCTGTTGTTTAGATTTTTTGGCTGAATTTAGACTGAATAGGAAAATTAATGTTGCATATTTAGGAAGGAATGTCACGTCCCTTTTCTCCCCTCTTTCCAATGAATGCTGATGTAGCATCTTTAAGAAATTAAGGACTTCAGCTGCCTAGTCCTTGTCAAACCTGAAGCTGTTCAACTAGCCTAGGATCTAGCAGTACTTGATCAGTGATCACCTGAATGTCCTTAAAATTTTTTGCCTTGTACTTCTTCAGAAACAATGATGAAGACATCAATGGACCCATGATTAACTGAAAACATTTTGTTCAGAACCATTTCAGTCTGGTTTCAGGGTCCGCTTAAAACCCTAAAAGCTAAGAAGGACATAGGATGGAGTGACTATGACACAGGGCATTTTTTCTGTTGTTTGCTTCTTTTAGAGAAAGAATGGAAAGTCCACTTGTCCTTGTCATCTATTCTGTGGAGATTCCGGATGTTCTTTACTCTGCTTCCTGGTTTTGCTGTCTTTCCTAACACCCTTCCACTCATCTTTTCAGCATGCTTTTCTTCCCCTTCTTTTTCCAATGTATATTTCTTCCTCTTTTGACACTTTTTCTGCACCCATCCTAGGATGCCTGTGGATCTCCATCCATTTATACTTGCATTCGGGGACAATCTGAGGAGTGTGTGAAAACCGACATCATGAATATATTCCATGTGTCTGTTGATTCCATAATTGGACACCGGCTTTGAAATATATAGAATCTCAATCCCCTGTGATCTCAGGAGGTGATATTTGAGAAACAAGAGGGTAGCAGAGAAACTACTTTTTCCTCCATGTAATCCTAGCATTGCACATGTCATCATAATAATTGCAGACATTTATGTCATACTTTCTGGTTTTAAAGGAGTTTCACATCCATTATCACATTTAGCCCTGTTGGGACCACCTGTGTATTTAATATTCTTCATAACTTTAGACCAAGGGGTCTAAGCTTTCTCACAGATAGAACCAGTTTGGTAAGCGCAAAGCTTAGCCGCTGAGAAGTCAGAAAGCTTAGAGACAGAACAGCCCATTGCCACCTTCGATTGAGCTATTGTAGCTCTTTCAATGGAGCCGCAGCCCACTGAATCACATTATGGTTCCTGAGGATGGGCTTCTAGAGGGCCTGGTTCTCTCAGCACTGGAGCTCTTCAATATTTCTTGGTTTAACAGAGAGAAGCACATTCAATCTAGCCATCTTTGAATGCAGATGGTGTTTCTTCCTGATTTAAGTATAAATGGTGAAGCTCTTCAAGGAAAGGATCACTTAGAGGTCTTAGAAAAGTCTCATTCCTGATGATTTATCTATTCATGAATTTTCCCAGAAGATTCTACTGAAAAAGGCCATTGTCTCTGGCTTGGAAGTCAAGTCCTCTGCAGATGCACAGTCTCTGAGCTTTGTCACCATCAGCCATCATACTTGGGTTAGTCAGGTTTCTGTAACTATCACAAATACCTGACATAGTCAGTTTATAATGAGAAAAGTTTTACTCCAGTTAATAGCTTAGAAGGGTTCAGTCCATGGTCAACTGGCTGTGTTCCTTTGGGCCTCTGTGAGGCAGCACAACCAGGTTTTTATGGTAGAATAAAACCTTATGGCCAGGAAACAAAAAGAAGAGAAATTGCATACCCCCAGTGACTTAAGCACCTCTTACTAACAGCTGCCACCCAAAGGTTCTACCACCTCACAGTGGCACCTACCTGGAGACCATGCTTTTAACACACAGGTTTTTGAGCTGCATTTGCGATATAAGCTATAGGAATGGTGCTATCTGCTCTCCATTGGCCTCTTTGTTCATCATGGCGCCACTTTGGTTATATAAACAGTGAGAAATAGAACCAGGCCTGGGATTCATGATTTCTTAGGAAAGCCGATGTTCAGTATCCTTCATGAGATGAGCAATTGTTCAGTAGCAGAAATGAAGGATGGAGTTGAGCTGGCTGTTTCTGCTCTTTCTCTCCTTTAAATCAGACAGGATTTGTCTCTAGGCTCCTGTGCAGAAATGCTAACATTTTCCACTAAACCCGATTTCTCTCAAATGAAAGAGGACCAAGTTGCCAGAAACAAAGAATTGGAGCTCTTGGGTCTTCCTCCTCCATTTCATGCCCACAGATCCCTCCAAGCCTTTGGAATCTCAACCTCACATCCTGCCCCATGATTGGTGAAATTATGATGGCCAAGAAAGGGGCCGTGGGAGCCTGAAACAAACTTGACTTTCCTGCATAGCATGTAAAATATGTCTCCAAAACCCAAACCAGATGGGAGCTTAAGGAACCCAATGCTGAAATGCCTGAGCTTTGTACCTAGCATGAGGGGCTTTTGTGAAAAGACTTTGTTTCTTGAAGGTGGCATGGAGGTCATATGGTGTCTCTCTAAGGCTTGGACCACCCAAATCTCTTGTTTTATACAATTTCATTATTTAAAGATCATTCCTTCTCATTCTTCTCAGATGATCTTTCTGCAAATGAATAGTTTTCCACATAAATTAGTGGGCTGTCTACAGTGCTATGGAAATAGAGAAGAAAAATTGCCTCCCCAAGCCGATGAAGACTGGGTTGAGAAATGGGACAAATGAGAGGGCCAGTTGTAGGAATTGAGTGTACAAATGTGGAGAAGGTCCCCTGGTACTCAGTGTGACAGAAATCACCACCCTCTGTGGCCCACACACAGGACCAGCAGAGCCATACTCTTACTGTCATCTTTCCTAGGAATAAACATTGTTGACTTGGGACTCGCAAGATTGTCACAATAGTGAATTTTGCAAGAAGGAAATTTCACAAGAGTGTTATTTCTGAAAGCAAAGCATGGGGCCCTTGGCCTTGGTCTAAGTTTCTACAGTGGAATCTCTCATCTGTCTGGTACAGCTTTCTATACTGTATAAAAGTGAAGAGGCCCTTCCTTTGGTAATCCTTGTGTTTGCTGATGTGGGAGAGAAATTAATTTCAGAGCCGTGAGCTCTTGGCATATGCAGGGACTCAGAGGGGGTCTCTGATTCAACCTTCCATGCAAGGCAAACTGAGAAATGCTAAGTCTGAGGGACAGATATTTTATGTTTTTCTAGGTGGCCTTCTCCACGTACTTAGACAAATTGTACAAACTGCTTTCTTATAGCACACGGCAGCCAGTCGTAATTCTGGCTCCCGAACAAAACAAGGCAAATCTCCCGTCAGTGCAGCAGTACCTGAGGGCTTCAGATGTGACCGTCCTGTGTCCTTCTTCAGTCCAGACTTTCCTGGCTCTCTTAATGGTTCCTCTTGAGATCTTTCCCAGAACGCTCACCTCCTCTTATCTTCTCATTTTTCTCAGGAAGTTATTGATCACGCTCCTTGGTTTAAGTGAGGAGCCAATGTTTGAACAACGTAGCCAGATATCCTCATAATAAGGGCTGATGTGTCTGTCACAAGAAAACATTTCTTTTGGCCCTTATTTGGTTAAAAGACTGAACCTGAATCAAGGACTTGGGCTTGATAAATGCAGAAGTCATGTTGCAAAGATGTGGAAGAGTGATGCACAGAGGTGGGAAACAAAGCATCAAACCTCAGAGCCAAGCAAAGGAAAAGGAGGATGAGTCTGGTTGACCCTGAGCACTCAGACACTGCTGCGTCTCCCAATAAGATCTGAGACAATAGAATGTGTAACAAAGCGAGCTCTTGTACCTGTTTCTGTTTCCGCAGGCCCATCTGCTAAACATCCCGAGCTGGAATTGGAAAGAGGGGGATGATGCAATCTGCCTCGCGGAGCTAAAGTTGGGTTTCATAGCCCAGAGCTGCCTGGCTCAAGGCCTCTCCACGATGCTCGCCAACCTCTTCTCCATGAGGTCATTCATAAAGGTAGCGTCTTGTCTTATTAGAGCACATTAGCCCAGGGTTCCATTTGTCACGGGGTTGAGTAGAGAGCACAGCTTAAACTCAAAACAGATCGACAGGCTTTAACCAGTTTGGTTAAGGAGAAATTCTTTGGTATGGATTTGGGCATGAGGCCAGCTCCTTTCAAAATTATGTTTTTATTTTTATTTGGCACATCTACGGCCATTAAATGATTGTTCAAAGCACAATCCTTTCTCTTTTTTTTTTGACAAACCACATGTTTATCTATCAACAAAGCCTCCGCTGTTAAAACAAAAATATGATTTATATACGTTCCATATGGTACCAGAGTGCCTAAAGAAAAGAATTATCATTTTGCTCTTTTATATCAAGTGGCTGGTGGACCTCTCACTGTGTGCATAAATGCAGACCATGTGTTTGTGCCGGAGCCCAAACCCTAACAACATAATTCATTTATTTATTTCTGCACAATCAAGGAGGCCAGCAAGGCTGACATGCCATGGCTATTTGAATGGAGAATGACAGGATGAACTGAGTCCTTTACCCTGAGAGATGGGCACTGGAGATGTGTTCATTTCCTTGTCAGCTGCTACCCCGCAGAGCTGACTGGGCAGCCGCTCTACCATCCCCAAAGTGGCCACTGATTGTTGGACCAGCTCAAGCAAGGAGTGAACAGACCAGCTCTACCCTCGCAGGCCAGGACTGATTAAGCATCTCCAGGGCTTTGGGTTGAGGAGCCTAGGCCTCTACTAAGAAGGCTTCAGAAGTACAAGACAATTATATCTCTAATTCCTGTCTGTAGGTTGCTCTTAGCTTAGGTCATCAAAGTGGCAGACCAGTGTGGTCAAACCTGCCTGGGTTAGGCCTTTCTTACGAGGCACTGGTGTCAATTAGCTGCAGATCCAGATTTACATTCTCCTTCCCGCTGCACAGCCAGTGAATTAGTAGTGGTCAAGGTGGATGATGGGGGAGTTGAGGAGGTGGTCTTGTGTGTGGTCAGAAGCAGGCTTAAGAAATAGGCATAGAGCAGGAGGATGCAGGTGCTCTGTGCTCAGCCTGGGAATGTGTGAGTTGGGTCACTTACAGCAGGAATCTTTCTAGGTCTTCTGTTTGGAATGCATCTAATTTGCAACAGGAGCTGATAGATGGTTAATGGTGCTCTACCAAGATAAGTTGTGTTGGAGCTGCATGAGAACTCATGGTAGTCAATACCTTGATTTAAGTTTCTTTTTTCTCCTGCGCTTATTACATAATAAGACCTCAGCTCAACTGAAATCTGAGCTCAGACTCCACTCACAAATATGAACATTGCTTTCTTTTAAATGTCTCCCTTATCCCAGGCTGCTATTGTCCTGCATGGATGAAACTGAATGCAGGCAGAATGTAAGCAGCCAGGAGGTCTGTGTGTCTGTGTTTAGTGACAGGCTCCTATGACCAGATGTGGCTGTGTGCCTCTTAAGACTCTTCTGTTCAGTGTAAGGAGCCCAGAGCCAGGATAAAGGACTGTCACCACAAGAACTCCTCTGGCTCTTTCATCCAAGCTCCAGTGGTTTCCTTCAGCAGGAGACTGCTCCCAGCACCAAGCACATGGTCTGAGGAGCTGGGCTCTGTTTCCTCCTGTTGAAGTGACATGGCCCTTGGCAGGGCCCCACCACAGATGGGGCCACTTGACATGCGTATGTTTTGATTTTGTGTGCCTGCATGGTAACTAGAACTGGCTGTCAAGAAAATTAATAAAGTGGATGTGACACTGATTCCTTGGTGCTTTTACCAGCAGGGAGAACTTCTGCCCAGCTTTCCTCGGGACCCTGATGGGTCTCACCTCTAAAACCAATGACGTCCCCTCCAGCTTTGCTAATCCCATTGCCAAGTTCCTGTTTAGGAAGAGCCTGTGGGAAAGGCTGGACCTGACCCTTGTGTAACTGAAAACACATGTCCCTCCCAGGGTTCTATTACTGCATTATTTCTGTCCAGGGCCAATTTCTCCGTGTTTGAAAGTAGCTACCCCAATGTGGCCTTTTGATACTAAGGTGGTCCTTATGTTGGAATCTGCTAACATGTACGATCTGCAAGTAATAAGCTATCTCTTCATGTTTTCTTTTTCCCATTAGACTCAGGACAGGCTTATTCATGCCTCCCTCATTCTATATCATCATCATTGTATTCTTACTCCCCAAGTCCCAGATGCTTGCCTCTTTTAGGTCCTGGTGAACACCAGTATGATGTTTCCCTTGGCGTATTTTATATATCTCTTATTCCAGAGGTCACAAAGCCCTTACTTACTTTTGATGGGGACAGATGGAGAAAGAAATTTGTAAGTATAACAGAAATCACTTCCTCCACCAATGACCCCATCTCCTACCGTAGAGAATTTATCTCAGGGACAGGCAGGACTATTAGGATGGAGAGAGAAGGGAGCAGGCTTTGGCAGGATTTGATCCTTTGGGAATGCTTAGCATTTCTGGAAGCCAAATGTGAAGTGTGAGCTTACCTTCTCTATTATCTGGGTAGAGAGTGTGTATTGCTTCGTTCTGAAGATTATAGCCTGTTCTTCCTTTGCTCAAAGAAGGACAAGTGACACTGTGATGGCAAGGGTGTCTCACAGGCAGAAGCATAGTGGCTAGCTGCTGAGCTTGTGGAACCAAAAAACTAAGACCAAAAGGGAGAATGATAAATTTTAATAAAACATAGAGAGACGCTGCCATATAGGAATCACAAAAGAAGCCCAGCTAAGTCATATTAAGAAATATAAGGAAAATACTTATTAATACTCTCCATTATTATTGTTCTCAGAGGTTTTAACCCTAGGGCCCTAGGTCACTGCACCCCAAAACCCATTTCTCATGTTGCTGTGTTATCTCTGAGTTGATCTAAACATCTGGAAAATTGGTTTATATTTTTAACCCATCTCTTTAGGAGTAATGAATTCTTTAAGTTTAGTAACTACTCTGAAAGATAGTCTCTTCTTGGTTCTCTATCCTTAACTTACTCCATTTAAACTTCAGAGAGTGCCCTGTATTGTTTCTGATATGCTGGGATTTACAAATCCATGCTAACTTTCCATCTAGTACCTTTAGGAAAGAGGCTGGGGGTGGTAGCCCGGGGGTCCTACAGCTCAGTAGCTTTTGTTCATGACAGCAAAGCACTTTGTGCAGTGGGGCCATATCATCCTTGTGTCCCCTTGAGGAGAGCAGACAAAAGTCCTGGTCCCCGTGTCTTAAGCATATTATGAATAGGTCTGGGACATCCTGTTTGCTCACCACTCTCTGCTGTCCTTCCACTGGCCAATCAGGTTCCAGTGAGCATCTCCTTAAGGCCTTCTGCAAAGACCAAAATAAAGATCTAATTTGGCCTGTCTGGCATTGCCCCATCCTCAAATGAGTGGCCACGCTTTGCCCTCTCTTGGCCTCCTCACTTGGATGAAATTTAAGATCATTGATTTTCTTGTTTTTGTTTTCCAGTTTTACTGTGTATACTTAACTTTCTCTTCAGCATATGAGGTTTCAGAGTGGGTCTTGATCTGGCATTTTTGTGAATGGTGCTATTATTCCTTCTAAGATGAATCATCCTTAGACATAATAAATTGTGTATGTAACTGTGAGAGTGATTTACTGTAAAGATTGTTTTTTCATTCTACTTAGAGACTTCCAATTAGTACATTTAGATAACTAGGGATTATGGGTAAAAATTTACTTAATATCAATCACAACAGCTTTCTGTATCACATTTTCCATTTTTGAGTGAAAAAGTGCTAAGAAACTTTGGCCTGTGTTTTTCAGATTGTCTGTTGGCCAAAGTGGTGTGACTAGACACACAAACTATTTGTTCATTATTGCTGTTACCATATTGAGATAAACTTTCTGGAATACATAGTCCTAACACTAATTATAGCCAAGGGGATAATTTTGACACCTCCAGTTTTGATTAATGGAAATATGTGTGTTTGTACATATCCCTGTAAAAATAATCTGGCTTAGGAACTGAAAAACAAATTGAGACTCTTTAGTAATTGCTAAAATATATTGAATCCTTGTACTTAATGTAAATGCCCATTATTTCATTTAATTCCCATGATGTGCCTAAGCAAACATGGCACTGTTATCTTCTTTACCCTACAGTGGCAGTTACCATGAATTAAAAACTGACCTGTGTGAGGACATACAGTTTGGAATAGACAAATTAAAGATAAGAGTAATTCCTATCAAGCACCATCGTCCTAGCCCATCCTTATTTTTCTGACATTTGTGGGGGTGCTGCTTCAATAGAGATTTCATGGGCACCACCTGTGCTGCAAACAGTGCATACTCAATACATTAGCCTTACAGTGAGGAGTCATCAGTAAGCTTCAGGAAGGTTCTGATCTGACTGGGACATGTGGGTACATGATTGCACAGTCCCAGCTTATGGGTCTTGTACACCTTTCTCTCTTGGCCTGGAAGTGCAGTGGTCACTGCATTAAGACAGAAGGGCTAGGGTTATAGTTCAGTGACACAAGTGCTTGCTTTTTACTGATATGGTCCTGAGTGTGATTTCCAGCATGCACATGTGCACGTGCATGCACACACACACACCAAGAAAAATGGGCAATGGGTTAGTTTAGCTGGACTGAGACAGATAAAGAATGCATTAGGTCCCAAGAAGGGGTTGGTGTTACACACTGCTGTATTTGGCAGGTAAAATTAATTGAGCCTAAACTAATTGGAGTCTAAACCAAATGGATCCAAAGGGCTGAGGAGGTTTAGGTAGGTGCTCCTGGGAAAAAATGAGTGTATTAGCCATCTCTACAGAAACAGAACCAATAGAGTGTGTGTGTGTGTGTGTGTGTGTGTGTGTGTGTGTGTGTTTGTGTGTGTGTGTGTAATGCCTACAAACAGCATTTGGTTCAATGACAGACTGTATATACAACAGTGGTCCCCTAAGATTATATTGCCATCATGGTTTGAATAAATATACATTATGATGATCACACTTAGTGAATCACCTAGTGATGCATTTCCTGGAAC